GTCTTTCACACTCGCCATGTGGCATACCCCCACCCTCTTTTCCAGGGCAGGAGCACCTTCAGCAGAGACTCTAAGGGCCAGTGGGTCTTCACCCTTTCATCATTTTATTGTCTGTTTATTTCTGTTGTATTGCACAAATATAAAATGTAAATTTAATTATAGATAATGCTGGTGTCTCCAGTGATATTCTCTTCGCCAAGTTCTTGGCCATGTGGACACTGTTGATAAGGTTTCCATCCTGAACTTCTTTCTTCTCTTGGTTTTTCTGTTTCTTTTTCTCCTCCTCCATCGATGCCTGTTCTTCCTCAGTGTTCTTTGATAGCTCCCTATTAAAGCGCATGCTTTCTGCAGCATTTTCTCATCAACTGATTTTCTTGGTGTGTTCACCGTCCATGCCCTTATTCACCTGCATGGCTCTGCCCTGGGTCTCTCCAACACAGCCTGCCCAGCATTAGACAGCCCTGGACCGTGCACACAAACAAATGCTTCACTGGTGTCTCAAACACAGCCTTCCAAACCCGAGCTCATTATGTTCTTTCTACAGCTTGCTGTGATTTCCCAGTATTTCTTATTTCATTTAAAAGTACCATCATTCACTTGGTCACCCAAGCATCATCCCAAAGCAATTCTCAACCCTTTCTCCTCCCTAACTTCCATATTCATTCAAACACGTCTTGTCCATTTAATCTCCTACACGGTTCCCAAAACGATCCTATCCTCCCCAATCTGCTTAGCAATTGGGTTGTTTTAGGGTTGATTCCTTCCCGCTAGATAGTTAGGAGAGCTTAACTACTATTCTCTGTCCGAAGGCACCCTCCTCGTGTCAGTCAGGGCCATGCCACCACACAGTCAGCTCACAATCCCAGCACAGCTGGATCGACCTGCTCTTCCCTGAGTCTGCACCCTGGCTGTTCTGGTGCATCACTTCCTCTCCCCTCACCTTCTGTAACACTGCAAGCCCCACATCACCACATGTCAGGCTCCCACACCTTTGCACATGTGCCCCCATGCCTTTTCTTCTTGGTAAATTCTTGCTTAAATTTCAATCCCTACCCTTAGTGTCATCTTTCCTCTACTACTAGAAATAATCTCGACTTCCTTTGAAATAATTCTGCCCTTACGTCTGATACGCCATTCACTGCTTTGCATTGCCAAAATTTCTCTCCCTCCTCAACTTAGAGCCTGACATGTGACTGGCATTGAATTTTCAAACCTGTGGATTCAATGCAGTCAAGAGTTTCAGTATAAATAGTTTTAAGTCTACAGCTGTGAGAAAGTCCTGGTTGCACGTTGTTTATGTCACACACAGATGCATGGCACCATTAGCTGGAACAGCACACGATACCGATTCTATCTGGAGCCCCTCACACCTTCTCATTCCCTCCAGTATGTTCACCAAACGAAAGACAAGTGATACTTCAAAGACCCAAATCTGAACCTGCCGCTTCCTGCCTGAAAGCCTTCGCTGGCTCTTTATTACTCTTGGGCTGAAATCCAAAATCTTTGACATTCTTGGCAAGGCTTAGCATGGTCTGGGTCTTAACTGCCCTCGATGACCTGGCTCAAGCACCGCAGGCTCCTCAGGATGCCACAGAAATGCCCCACTCTTGACCATCTACATTCTTCACATATGCTGTTCCCTACCTAGAATGCTCTTTCTTCCCATCTCCTGGATAACTGCCATAACTGCAGTCCTTAAATATCAGCTTCAATGCCATTTGAAGAAGGGCTTCCCTGACGTTCTCTGACTGAGCAGGGTTCCCAGACACCAGGTCTTCTGCAGGGGCTCTGCATAAAAGTGTAGATTGCATCCCTTCTAAGGGTGCAGTATCTCACAGGATGCTTCACAGCGAAGACAGGGCTGATTTGGGTATTTATCATGACAACTTGCTGAGAGATATAAGGAAAGCGCCTTATGAAAGGGACACTATTTTTAAATGTCATGCAAATTTGCTGCATTGGGTATCACAGTTTATTAAACACGTTTTCTACATAACATTTGCCAGAGTTGGGTGCAATTAAATAATTGTTGTTAATTATTTAATAATTATTCATGACATTAAACAATTTAGATCCCATCTCTCACACTAGCTTGCACATCATCTTTGAGAAGAGATTGCCTCTGTGTTAGTATTGTTGTACCCTCAGAGGATGCCTTTCTTCAGCCTCTTGGGGGTACTCTGCAATGTCTGCCTAGTGAAGTCAGCTAAAGCTGGCTGCGTCCCGGCTTGGCAGGACTCCATTGGCTGCACTGGGGTCTGCAGCTACCGGCGTTGCTCCCTCCAGCTCTGCACCCATTGCTGAACAACAATGCCTGTTGTTGGAGCCACAAAAAAGGGATTTAATTGCAATTGGCTGGTGGATTATCTAGTCTATCTAACAAAAATGTCAAAGCCACCCACCACCCAAGATGCTCCTTAGCGTTGCCGCATTATCCAATAAAAATCTCCACATTTTCATCTTTAAAAGTGCTTTCCATGTACTTAGTTATAAACATATTTTTTGCATTGAGTAGAATGACCAAGTCTAACCACATGTGCTTTATGTCAGCATGTAATGCCGCACAGCATTTTAGCAGTTTACTTTGCCTTTCTATTTTATGAGCTTCTATCCAACATTATGGTAAAATTTCATACTCCCAAGAGCATGACTCCACAGAAGCAGCGGTGCTTCCTGGATTTAGAGTCGGGTGGGTTCCCCTGGCAACCTGAGCCACCTGAAGGCTTCTCCATGCTCTGTTCATTTTGCCTTCCCTTTATTTTGCCCATTAATTTGCTAAAAAAGAAAAATAAGAGGGCTCAAAGGAAAGAAAACTACTTTTATCATAATTAGTCTCGTTTTACCTTCAAAAGACTGTCTCAACCAGAAGAGGACTTTTTTTTTTTAAGTCAATGATGAGAATGGGAACATCCAATTATAGGTGAGAAACCTCGGGCTGGAGTTGTGCCCTGCTTTCTTTACGGAAGGAAAACCCTCTGCACTCACCAAATATGTGAGAAAGGGAGTTCAAGAGTGAATTGTTGAAATTGTATCAACTTGGTAACTTCTTTAAAGGTTTCACCTCTTTACAGCTTTACCTAAATCTTTTCAAACAATAACTTTCCTTTATTTTCCATCTTTGCTGAATATCCCCTTCCTAAATGAATTTTGTCTTTGGGTGGGAAAAGTGGCTCTGTGTTTGTCTTCTTACATAACATAGTTCTATTCAATAAGCATGTGGCAAGAGCCAGAAACACCTGTGTTTGAACACAGATCTAACATTACCAGCTATGAGAACCACCTGTGCATTAACCAAAGAAAACAACCAATGTGGTAAATGAGTGCAAAAGAAGCGTGGATCGAAAATACAGGTACCTTCCAAAGTGTGTGGCACAAATGCAATTGTATCCATGGAATCATAGATAAATAGACAAAGAGGTAACAGAAAGATAGATGGATAATTTTGAACTTCCCGCTTATTTTCTTTTGACATACTATTTTTACTTTTTTTTTTTTTTTTTTTAACACTGATACTGCTCAGTTTTTGTCAGTTTCAAGTAAAACGTATTTGCTGGGTTGGTTTGGGGACAGCATGGGATCACTGTGGCAGGAAGGAGTTCCGAGACATGCAGGGAAGACTGTCTGCCATCTTCCTTATGATGAGGGTACCCCTAGACACACAGAGGTCTCGGCAGGTCTGATGTGTGATGGAAGCGGATGTAGCACATCTCCAATGACAGTTCGCAATCAGACTTGAAATCTAAAACTCGATAATAATTTTCAAAACGATTTGAAAGGGTTGAAGGGATATGGTTGAACAAAGGGAAGGTTTCCTGATGTTCTTCATATCACACCGCTCAGAAGAGTTGTGCATCTCTAGACAGGGAGACGCTGGTGGTCAAATCCCACCCTGGGGTCACGGTATCTTGAAAGAGACAGGAGCCCTCTTTTCCCCTCAGCTGATGGCGGGAAGGGTTGGATCAGCCATTAGGGTGTCAAGGTGTGGCATGGACATTAGCAGTGGGACGCAATGGGGACCTGTGTTTGTCAGCCTGAGGCAATGAATCCACTGGGGAAACTGAGGTGCCTAACCCTGGTCTCCTCCAGGCCTGCCTCCAGTACCCTATGGAGAAGGGGAATTTCCCCATTCCCTTTCAGAACCTTCACCTCAGGGGCTGAACCCTTGCTAACTCTGTGTCTTGCCGGTCCCCTTTCGGGAGAAGAGAATGTCTGTCACCAGCAGAATCTGACAGCGATCCCTGGACTAGCAGTTATGCAAAGAAATGGTGGTGACTGTCTTTACAGACGCTCAGACTCGCGGCTGTGTGATGGAGGCGGCGCTACTGTGAGGGAGAAGTGAGGAGAACGTGCGGCTGCAGGGATTAAAGTAAAACAGAGACATTGTCACCTCCATGGACCACCACTGAGGCCCGGGTAAGGAGCGTGTTTTGCCCTTCTCGGATACTCTCAAGCAATTCAGGTGACACTCGTAAGGTGCAGTTTGTCTGCAACCTGTCACCCCAGTTAGAGCAGACTGAATGAAGAAAACGCAAGGAAATATTCTATGTATATGTCGTTTAAGTCATAATTTTATGAACTGGTCTTATTCTAACTGGATCATTTTGCTACTTTCTTTGGATGGGTCACTCTAATAAACGTAGTTCCTGACTGCGAGCTATGCAGATAAGAAGTTCTAGACACACTGTGAAAATCCAGGTGCATGCTTGCACGAAACAGGCACGCCCCTCCTTAGTACTGAATCTAAACGGCTCAGTCTCAGGTCTCGGGGAAGGCTGCAGGCCGGGGACCAGGCGGCGTGCGGCTAAGGCAGTGAGTGCGCCAGGGAGCCTGCGGGCTGGAGGGGACGCGGGGCTGGGAGGCTGGGGAGCGGGGGGCCGACTCCGGGCGGGGTTGGGGAGACGGGAGGGCCGGGGGCGGGCGCACCAGTCGAGCTCTCCGCCCGCGGGTCCCCAGCGCCCAGCCGCGTCCCGGCTGCGCCCCGCCCGGCCCCGCCCCGCCAAGCCGCAGCCAGCAGCGGGAGCCGTGCACTGAGCCGCCCGGCTGCGCTCGCGGAACAGCAGCCCTGGGGCCAAGAGCGAGGCCGGGGTCCGAGAGCAGGTGACGCCAAGGGCTGAGTCCGACCCCGGAGCGAGCGGTTCAGCACTGACCAGGGCGTCCCCTAAATCTCCTCGCCTTCGCTGTCTTTGGGAACCAGAGGTGAGCTTTGGGTTTTCGAGGCGCAGTTCTAGCTAGGGTTCCGTGCAGGGCGGTAGGAAGGGGGCTTGACCTTGGGGACTCAGATGGGCAGTCTGGGAACAGTTCCACCAGGAGCCGGTGCCCAGAAATGGTGGGGGAGGCACCTCCGAAGCTAGGGGAGAAGGAGCGAGCGCTCTTCGCCCCTCTCCGGCACCCAGCGGCGAGTCTGCTGGCGGGGAAGGCAGCGAGGGGTCAGTCCTCCGTGTACTGCCCGGGGCGACTTGCGGCCCAGGTGGGTGTCCGTGAGCTGCGGGTCCCCAGCGCCGCCGGCCAGGGCGCCGGCAAAGTTTGCCTCTCCGCGTCCAGCCTGTTCTCTCGCTCCCGCAGCCCCGCAGGTGTCGCCTGTCCTCGCCTTCCTGCTGCAGCCGCCCGGCCATGGACTCCCCGGTCCAGATATTCCGCGGGGAGCAAGGCTCCACCTGCGCCCCGAGCGCCTGCCTGCCCCCCAACAGCAGCGCGTGGTTTCCCGGCTGGGCCGAGCCGGACAGCAACGGCAGCGCCGGCTCTGAGGACGCGCAGCTGGAGCCCGCGCACATCTCCCCGGCCATCCCGGTCATCATCACGGCGGTCTACTCCGTGGTGTTCGTCGTGGGCTTGGTGGGCAACTCGCTGGTCATGTTCGTGATCATCCGGTGAGCGCGGGGTCAGCGCGGCGCGGGGGGCTGGGCGGGGCGGGGCAGGGCAGGGAGTGAGGGTCGAGCCCGCCACTGGAGCGGCGGTGGGGGCAGCCAGCCAGGTGGTGGGGACTCTGCTCCGCGAAGGATCCTGGAAACGCTACCGGGTGACCTCCTGCAAGAGGTGAAGGATTTCCTGCGGGAGTTTTTGGTGCAGGACTGAGAGGTTCACACAGGGAGAATCCGAGGGGCCAGGGGCGTCTGGAAGGTTTCAGAGCGACCTCCCCGCCTCACCCTAGGGCCCAGTATTCCTGCTGAAAACTCTACGCGCAGGGCAAGTGCCACAGTGCTGACAACAGGGCCCAGGTCTCCTGGTAAAGGAACTAGTCTCTTTGCCTGGTTGCCTGCAGCAGTTCGGAGCACTCTGTTATGCAAATATTTCTTACAATACATTTCAAGCCCACCCAATGCCCTGAAGATAATTCAGAATTTCCTGTGACTCCTCAGACTGGTGTTTTGACTTATAAAACAAAAGTTGATATAAGATCTAGCGTTGCTGATATGCATATATGAGCCTTTTTAGTACCAAATGTCATCTCATTTGTTAGGAATATCAGTAAATAACATTTTTCTCCAAAGCAAACTGCTTTGCTAGTTTTTTGTTTTTCACCATGAGAAATTGAAGATTTTATTTTATGGTGTTTTGTGTGTGTGTGTGTGTGTAATTTTCTTTAGGTCAACTTCCAATAGTAAATATCCAAATATTCACATGCATGCTCATTTTCTGGTAAGCAATGTGATTCTGACTTTAAGAAGGAAAAACAAGAAAAGAAAAAGCCAACCTGTTCCCCACTCTTCTTGAGATAGATGTTTCCCTTTCTGGAGCACTAGAGTTTTGCCAGTACACCTGTGAGAGGGAGTCGAAGCTTGTGTTCCTTTGAGAAGTCTCTGTAAAATAAGGGAGGGGTGCAACTCCTCTGGCGAGGGACGCTGAAACGATGAATAGCTGATCTTTTTAAAGCTTGACTTTAGTTTTGAAACAGGTCATTTACTTATTATGAACTCTAGGCCATATCATGAACAGTAGCATGAATCTTGCTCTTGGAAAATTATCATAATAAAAATACCTCTTTACCTTTTTTTCTTTTCCTTTTTTTTTTTTTTTTTTTTGCTTGAGAATGTCAGGCCTTTTATTCCTATGTATGCTCTAACATTAAAAACCATCAGTTAAGTCTCCAAATACATATTATAAAGCTCATTTTACCAACAACTAGTGTTTGTAGCTTGGTACCCTTGGTTTTCATAATTGCTCATTGCATTTCACAGGAATTCTATCAGCGATGAGTAAAGGTTATAGAAGGAGGGAATATTTTCAAAGTAAATTGTTTGTCTAAGTCATTAGTAATCTCAGGGCTGGTCTCTGCTAAAGAGACAGACAAAATGGAAGACAACTGTATTCTAAATTTTAATTAAAATTTTTAGGAGATCTTTGGCACTGAAGCCTTTTTTTGGTGGTGGAGTAATAGAAACATTGAAAGAAGAAAGCTCTAAGAAAAAAAATTAGCTCTGTTTCTATTCATATCATATTTAGGCGCTCAAGTAAAATAGATACATATGATTGTTATTTGAATGAGCACCTGAAGTCTCCGGTTTGAAAAGAGCTTTGTAGTTGCTCCACAACCTTGTACAGCCTAGGATTAAAAAGAGTGAAGAATCCTAAAATAGCATTTAGATGTTATGTGTAAATATAACTCCATGGGGAACATTTGACATGTAAGAAGGAAAAAAAAAAATCCTGTAGATTAGCTAGGACTTTTAATGGATAGAGTTCCCAGAGATATCCAACACTAAAATGTGTTGTAAGAGGGTAAGTTTAGCATAACATATAAAAGAATTTGGATGGTTCATATAACATCATTCTCTTACCGCATTCTCAATACTTAGAGGTTACGTTTGATGATAAATGAAAAGTGAAGCGTTCTACTGCCATCCTGGAGCGCCTACCTACTGAAACCTAGCTAGTTCACTTATGGCTAAAGCACATACATTTTAAGGTCTTCACAGTAAAAGGTTAATGTCTAGTGAACCTAGTTCATTTAAGTCTATAGCTAAGAGGGAAAGGGAGGATTTAGTATTATTTCATAATGATAGATGGTTCGAGGATTGAAGAAGAATTGAGGTACTTGGGTTTATTTATCTCAGGAAAGGAAGAGACTGAAGATTGGAGAGAGGGTGACTGAAGTGGTTTGCGTGGTGATCATCACCGCTGAGCGCAGAAGCAGGGTGTGGAGGCCCAGCAGCCCTGTGACTGAAGGGGCTGAGTAGCTGTGCTTGAAAGAAGGAGGATGCTATTTTAAAATATTTTACATGGAAAAGGCTCCTAGCATAGGTCAGTCTTAGAGAAAATCATTGTAGAAATGGAACTTAGATGCTCAGAGAGTGGGCAGGTGCAGATCTAGGCTGGTCAGCTCAGACCTGGGGAGAAAGAGCTGTGGGAAAAGATTTGGCTACTTTTACGCCTGCCTTACAAATAGTTTTTCCCATCTCTGACCCCTCTAATGCTGCCTCGTATCTTCTGATTTAAAGCTTCTTCAAGAGTTCTCATCATTTACTGTGTACCAACTGCCATAATCCCTTGATAATTAGGGCACATTCATTTTCACTGTGGAGAGCTTAAAATGTAAGTACTCCACCCTCCCAACTCACCAGGCTTTGGGGTTTGTGGTTGTTGGGTGTGGATAGATACGGATGTGATCCTCAGGATTCTTTTTTATTTTTTTTGTGACGGAGTCTGGCTCTATTGTCCAGGCTGGAGTGCAGTGGCGTGATCTTGGCTCACTGTAACCTCTGCCCCCTAGACTCAAGCGATTCTCTCACCTCAGCCTCCCAAGTTTCTGGTATTACACGTGTGTGCCACCATGCCCAGCTAATTTTTGTATTTTTGATAGAGATGGGGTTTCACCATGTTGGCCAGGCTGGTCTCAAACTCCTGACTTCAAGTGATCCACCCACCTTGGCCTCCCAAAGTGCTAGGATTACAGGTGTGAGCCACTACGCCCAGCCAACCCTCAGGATTCTAATCCCGTGGTATCCTGATTTCCTCCTGTGCAGTCTTCATTTTTCATTAATTAATGAACACCATGACACCCACACCCCTCTGCCCTGCCAGAGGCAGCCCTACCTTTGACATTGTAAATATCCATTCTCCTGCTCTTACCACAACTTCATACATGTTCGACTCCCTTACAGAAGGTGACTAACATTTAATGAACACTTCATATGTGTCAAGCAGGTAAAGCTACCTTCTTCATGTGACCTATTTAATCTTCACAACTAGAGGTATATCATTATCATATCCACTTAACAGAGGAGGAAACTAAAGCACAGAAAGGTGAAATAAACTAACGTCACACCTGGGTAACCCATGCGGCCAGAATGATCTCAGCGGCCTGATCACAGATCCTGTGCTTTTATCTGCTCGGCTCCTCATTTCCCACCGTACCACTTCGGCAAATGTTTGGATTCTTTCTTCCCAGAAGGCTCTTCATTTTCTCCCAGACTATCTCTTTTTCTCTTCGCCATCCTAGACTCCATAAGCTATCACTAAAACCTCTGTCTCGACAACACACTCAAGTGCCCTGCCTTCTTGTATTTCTGCCAGTGTCTTCCACCAAAGCCTTAACCTTTGATCAAGCCAGTGACCTACCATCCTTATTCCTATATGCAGCTGGTTGGATGCTATTGGATAAAATCAATTTTATCTTTGTCAAGGCAAAGTCACCGCCTTCAAGTATATCTGACCCTAATTCTGCCTAGAAGTTTTTGTGTCCCTCTTCTATTTTCCAGAAAAAGCCAATTCTTTCATTTCCCATTTTTAAAAAATGAATTCAAATCTGCACTGATTGCCAAATCCTCCACCTGATCATATGATCTTCATGTCATATTCTTTACTGTCTTTATCATATTACCTTCATGAGTGGTTTCACCCAGTAGTTCACCAAGACCGTGGAGTGCAGCCCCTAGGGACACCGCTTCTCTACACACACATGTTGGCAGCCATCTCCCTGCATTCTGTGTTACTTCATGGGAAGATTCTCCTTCCTTCTATCCAAGGCTAATTCTTGCTCCTGGGTTGTGAAGCTCATTGCCTTCTAGGGTCTTTACCATATAAGCGATCTCCTTTCTATGGTCTGGAATCTCTCCCTCTTCACCTGCTCTTCAGCACATGAACATACCCAAGTGTCTGCCATCTTACCAATAATCAAAAACCCACATCCACCAACCCTCCATTTTCCTCAGTTTCCTTGACTAACGGAAACTTCACCCTCCTGCCTGTCATGGGTAGGCAAGCTTCTTGGAGTAATTCCTCCTCTTCGTTTCCTTGTCTTCCACCCGATCCTCTGCCCCAAGCACTTGGGCTCCCCTCTGATGGTCATTGAAAGCCATGGTGTGTGTTTCAGATGCTCGTTTTAGGCCACTTGCACTTGGCTTCTGTGTAGGGTCTGGCATGCTTGGCCAGCTCACTTTCTCACATAGCACCCTCTCCTCGGCTTCCCCCGCATCCTCTGGCATTCTCCTTGGTCCCTGCACAGATTCCTCTTCCTGTGAGTTTCCTAAATACTTATGTTCTCCAGAGCGTTCTCAGCTCGCTTCTGTCCTCACTTTGCATATTCTCTGTATTAGTCAAGGGTCAGCCAAAGAAGCAGGACCAGTAGGGGGTGTCTATGTTAAGAAATTTCTCACAGAAACCTGGCGTAGGTGGCTGTGGGACTGGCTAGGACAGGAAGTCAGGAGAGACAGGCCGCTGTCGCCAGGCAGAATTTCTTCTTCCTCAGGGAGCTTTGGCTATGCTTTTAAGGTTTCCACTGATTAGATCAGTGTCATTCCAGATCACCTAGGATGATCTCCCTTGCTTAAAGTCAACTGATGATGGACTCGAATCACACCTACCAAACACCTTCGCAGCAGCACCGAGATGACTGTTCGAAGACCTGGAGACTGTAGTCTGGCCAAGGTGA